GTTCTGTGGGTGGAGGGCCTGAAATTTTACACTACAGGAGACTGTCATCAGAAGAGAAGCTGCTGGAAGCTGGTGCGTGTGCTCATGTGGGCACACAATGTCAGTGGCAGGTACAACCTGAGCATGTGCACTGGGAATGCTAAACAACATCTTTGGAAATAAGCTGTAAATAGCGCATGAAGCAAAAAGACAGAAAGGACTGGCAAGCAGCCAGTCTGGCTGCCCAAGGCTCACCTTGTTCCAGATGAAGGTGCCCAGCAGGTTGTTATCACCAAAGGGGTTGTCAGTGTTGGTATAACCCATGTACTCCTCGCCCCAGCCCATCTTCTCCCGTTTCTTCCGCTCCTTGGCTTCCTTCTTGGCCAGCCGGCGTGCCCGCTTCTCCTCAGGAGTCTCGAAGGCCTTCATCAGCTCCTCCTGCTGCTTCCGTTCTTCGCGCAGCCGCAGGCGTTCCTGCAGGCTCTGTCGCTGACTCAGGGCCGCCGCTGCTGCCTCCCGGGGGCTCTGTGAGTGGTCCCTGGATGCAGAGCTGGATGCCGAGGAGCCTGGGGACCAGGAACGTGTCCGCTGCTGCCGCTGCCGGCGAGCCCATTGGCCCCGCTGCTGCTGCTCATCATTTGAGTCAGACTGAGAGGAGCGGTCCTGGGAGCGCCGGTGGGCAGCAGGGGGGCTCCGGCTCTGCCTGCCTCGCCATGGCCGCTCCTCTTCTGAATCTGACCTGTGGAGGGAACCCAAAAAGCTCTGCCTGCTGCCTGCTGGCCAGTCACCTGTCCCACTGCCATTGACTAGGCAGGCACCTGCTGGGGGCCAGGAGCTGGTCTAGGTTCTGGAACATGGCAGTGAGCCAAACACTGATGGTCCCTGCTTTTGTGGGGCTCACATCAACAAGTGTAACACTAGATGGGACCATGAACCACTAGGATAGTGACAGTGCATTAGGGCATGCAGAGGTCAGAGAGGAGCTCACTAAGAAGGTGATATTGGAGGAAGTGTTGGGGAGCTACGGGGAGATCTGGAGAGAGTGATGGGGCAAAGGGCACAGCAGGAGCAAAGGCCCTCGGGCAGGAATTCATTTGGCATATTTAAACAGCAGCAGGCAGGCCTGTGTGACTGGAGCAGAGTGAGTGAGGGGGAGCATGGGAGGGAGGGCAGGAGGGCCAGTGGCCTGGGCCAGATGGTGAGGGAACTATAAGCTCTGTCCAAGGTGTCCAGGGGGGCTTCCCTGGTAGCTCAGTCGTAAAGAATTTGCCTGCAATGCAGGAGACATGGGTTTGATCCCTGGGTTGGGAAGATCCCCTGGAGAAGGAAATGGCAACCTACTCCAGTATTCTTGCCTAGAGAATTCAACGGACAGAGGAGCCTGGTTAGTTCATGGGATTGCAAAAAGAATCAGATGCAAATTAGCGACTAAACAACAATAACAAGGTGTCCAGGGAGGGCTTACAGAAAGAAGGTGGTGTTTACCTGGCTCTGTAGGACAGGTAGGAGTAAGACTGGTGGGAATACAGAGCCCTGACGGGGCAGGTGAGGAAGGCAGGCAAAGTACGAACTCTGGGGATAGATTCTTTAATGTTGGGGGCCTTTGAGCAACTAAATCTGTCTTTATTTTGTCCAATGCTCCACCCATTAAGCTCATGACAAAAAATTTACACCTTGAAAACCAATTATTTGGCATTAAACAAAAACTACAAATTTGGTCAAATCTTCATAAATGAGATTGATTTTCATGACCTATCTAGAGTGGCTAATTCTTGTGAATAACTAAAATCTTAGAAACCAATAGGTGACAATAACAATTTATTGCTACCCACAAACCACTGCTAAAACATCAACATTAAACGTTAAACCAGAGTCAGCAAACTTTTTCTGTGACGAGCCAGATGGTCTATGGCACAGCAACTCAACTCTGCTATCACAGGGCAAAAGTGGCCCACAAACAGCACATGAACAAACGGGCATAAGTTTGTTCAATAAAATTTTATTTCTAGACACCAAAACTTGAATTTCATGTAATTTTAATGTGTCATGAAGTACTACTCTTTTGTCTTTCCCATCCCACCCCCTCTCCTCAACATTTAAACATGTAAAAGCTATTCTTGGTCCACAGGTTGTAGTTTACCAAATCCTGGTTTAAACCATCTCTTTACTAATTTCACTGCTTTTATCTTCCTGGAATTCCTGGGTGGCAGTGATCTTATGAGATTCAAAAGTAAAAGCCACCTTTCCAAGCCTAGAGGGTGATCAGTGGATGACAGCCACCCTGGCTATGGTGTGGCGAACAGGCTGGAGGGATGGGAGACAGTGCATGCTTCCAGAGCCCCTGTGGAGATCCTGAGGGCACAGATGACATAACTTGGATGAAAGTGGGGCAGGGACTGCCAGTTATAGGCTGAGCCAGCAGTAGATCCAGCTCTGAGAGTCAGTCCCTATTTCCATGCTGATTCCCTTGTGCTGGAGCAGACTCAAGCAGATTCAAGTCAAGTCTGGTCAGGTGCCCCATCTCCAGAAGAAAAGGGCTGTGGGCAGATGGGAAGCTGAGCAACAAGTCCGAGTCCTGCCACTGTCATCAACGGTTCTTCTCTCACACCCCATGAACAAGTGTTGTCACTTCTACTTCAGAAATCCCTCTCCAATTTACCCACTTTCTCACTGTACCTTCCCACAACCTCCCCTCGAGAAAGCCAGCCTGGACAACTGTTAATACGTTCCTGCTCCTTGGTGTCACTCCTGCAGTCCCGCTGAGTCCCTTCTCCACGCTAAAACCAGAGGGAATTGCGCAAGGTAATCCAGACATCACTTCTTGGTTCGAAATCCTCCACAGCTCCCTACTCCCCTCTAAACAAACCTCAAATGCTTCATGAAGGTACACAAGCCAGCACGATCTGGTCTCCCGCTTCCTCTCCGACCTCATCGATTCCCCAACGCCTCGTTCCTGGAGCCTCTCGCTTTCCTATCGCTGCCTCGTTAATTCCGACGTGCTCGGACGTCCCCTTTTTCGGGAAGCCCTCCCTGACTAACTAGAGGGGCTCTCAGCTAACCAAAGGCTGGAGCTGGACCTCTAGCGCGGCTCAAACAGCGACCCTACCTGCGCTCCCGACTCCTTCGCCTCCGTCTGCGTCGCCTCTCGTCGTCTCGGCGACGCCGGTTTCGCCGCCCATGGCTTCCACTCCGACTTCGGCTCCGACTCCCGCTCCGGCTCCGTTGCCTTCGACCCCTGCGACCAGCGGACCGCGAGCGCGAGCGTGTATCCCGACCCATCGGCTGGGACGGTGGCGACGGCGCGGACACAAATACCCGGGGCCTGTGACTGGGGCCTTCCTCGCTTGTGGCGCGTGCCTGGTTGCCCCACCCACGCCTGAGCAGGGATATTGGAACCCATCCTGTCGCCCCATGCTGCGGGGACTTCGATCCTCCTTAACCTCTCCACTGTCCTCAATGTGGCCTAAGTGATGGACTCCTGCCGGACTGTCTCCGCCAGAATTTGGGATTCGCTCTTCAGGCAATACTAGGGGCAGGCCTAGGCGGGTCCTAGCGCTTTAGCGAGTCAGAGGAGCAGTGGGCGGAGCAAATGCGAACGAGGACCTGTAAGGGGCGGGGTCAGGGACGGGACCAAAAAGCCGGCCCAGAGAGGAAGAGCAGTCGGCATGGGAGGGGCCTAGGAGGCGTGGTCAAAGAAGGCGGGGTCTCTGGGGCGTGGCCTAGGAGGAGAGTCTTGGGGGCGAACTCTCGCTGGTCTTGAGGCGGGGAAGCCTCCAGACAGTAGGTTTAAATCCAGACTGCTCCAGGAGACGAGGGGTGGGAGCTGGAATGGAAGCCGAAAAGTCTTAGATGATGGGCTGACCCTCTGTGAGAATCCTCATCATGCTACACCACTGCCAATACTTGTGTTTCCTGGATCAAGCTTTAAAAAATCATTTGCATAACGTCTTAAGTTCCTCATTAACTCATTTTATAGATGGGGAAATTGAGGCTAAGAGAGGGAAAGTCACTCCAAAACCCCGCCCCCAATGAGCCAGTGTAGCGCTGTGATTTGAACTTGGTGGCCCATCCGCCTTTGTCCTGTAGGTGCGAACCACGGGAGGGCTTTGAGCAGGGAGGGATACAAGGGGTCTTTAGGTGGAGTCCCAGCAGGGCCGTTAGAGAGCAGCAAGAACAGAAAGGGGCGAGATTGGAATCCCGAAGAGCTGGAGGAGGCCAAAGTCCTGCTCTGAGTTCCTCAAACCCCACCCCAGGGGATGGTGCTTAATTCTTTAAGCCAACTTTTTAATAGAACACAACTTCCAGACACCATCCTAGATGCTAGCCTTGCATATTCTGCTTGGTGCTGCAGCGTGGGTTGGTGGGTGATGGCATGGAGGCAACCCTTGATAACTGCCTGTCTTGGGATGTGGGTTGTCCTGATGACAGGCTGGCCCAAAACGTGATTTTCCCCACCCGGATGCATTCTTGAGCATATATCCTCTGACCATAAGGGGAACATAGTTGTGATCACCTAGCCAACAAGCTGTGCCATCTGTGTCTGCGATCAAAACTGGGTTGCCAAGGGCTTGCTTACAGACAGGATCTTGTTTTCAATGCAGTGTTTCTCAAACTGGAGTCAGGGAGAAATATTTTCCCCTTAAAAGGTGTCCATGCATTACTCAGTTTGATGGACTGGCAGAACAGTCTCTGGGGAGTGTGTGCTCCTGAGGTCAGCTTTTATTTACTTTAAAAAATCTTTTTGGCCAGGCAGCATGTGGGATCTTAGTTTTCTGACCAGGAATCAAATCTGCATCCCCTGCAGTGCAGTCTTAACCACTGGCTTATCAGGGGAGTCCCCTGCAGTCAGTTTTAAAAAATTTTTTCCAAGCCAAAGTGGAAGCCAATGTACTAAAGCATTTGGGTCCATTGTTGATCTTATTTATTGTGATTCTTACTAATGTTTCTTTGTGTTCTCCTTCAAACTCAGTCTTTAAACTCCCACCCAGACCACCAGAGAGACAGAGAGAGGTGGCTGACGCTTATTACCCGATTTATTAGAGATCTCTTCAACATAAAAAGGGGTGGGGTGGGGTGGGGTGGCGGGGGAGGATCTGGGGCTGCATACGAGTGTTATGGGGCCAGCAGTGGCTGCGGTCACAGAGGCGCCCACGGCTCTGGGTTTGAGCGGGCCAGCATCCTGCGCCCGAGGAGGCTGAGCCCCGGATTGTCACACACCAGACCACGGGGGCTGAGCACACGGGACCCCCAGTGAGATTAAGACACACAAGGTTTGCAGTTTTGTTGTGTTTGGAAATCAGTTGGGCCATAAAAATGGGGTTGGGGTGGGGACGGGCAATGCAACCGAATCACCAGAGGTGACTGAGGGTGCCTGTTCTGGGGTGGGGACCGAGGGGCTGTGGCGACAGTACCATGGCAGGGGACCCCATGGGGATGGGAGTATTGCACTGAGCCAGGTGGTGAAGGGGGCGAGAGGAGGCTGATGATGGCGGCTGGGAGGGGACACGCGGGAGGTCCCACCTTGTCAGTCTCAGGACACACCTTTCCCGTGTACAGTACGGCACGGCAGACAGTGCCCACGTTCTCAGTGACAGCAGCTGTCAAGGATGAGCTGGGATAGACGAGCTGGGGCATCACCATCCAGGAGTTGGCAGATTTCTATCCTGGGGGTGGGATGACAGCTGGGTGGGTCCAGGGCGCTTACTGTTGGGGGTCTGGGGAAGGCCGTGAGTTCGCTGCATGTTATAAATAAGGTCTTGCCTTCCCACCCTCTCACCCTGACCATAAGCACACGCTTTCTGGCAGCCTAGTCTGAGGACCACCTTGCATCCATGTGACAGGTCTCTGAAAAAGGGACAAAAAAATACAACCAACACAAAGGGGATTCTGAAGGGGTATTCATGACTTAGCACGGGAATGAAAACATCATGATGTCCAGGAGGTTTGCAAATTTCTCCAAGTGAGCATCTGTCTGTGATTCACTCAGGAAAGCCCCAGGGCCCCGCTCCCCGGCTCCAGGTGGCTGAGGGCGCCCTGGACATGGGGCCTATGGTTCTGGTCGTCCCCACAGGATGCACCACATCTCTGCAGCTGGCCTTGGGGGCCTGGGCAGGGGCTCTGATGTCGGCATTGGGGTGACGTAACAGTGGCTATTAAGTCATCTTCAGACCTCTGCCCATTCAGCCCACCTCCTCCGGGTGGGACAGGGCACCGATTGGGGACTTGTGCGCATGGGGCACTGTGGACGGTGCCTTGGTGGAAGTCCAGGTGAGGATGCTCCAGGGTCTGGACACACCCTTGTGGGTAGGAGGGGAGCAGAACACCTGCAGGATTTTTCTGATGGGTCCTCTTCCCCAAGCCTCGTGCTGTGGCATCCTTGGTGGCCCTGTGAGGAGAGAGCCCCCGGGGCACAGCCCGAGGAGGGGTGCAGCCAGCCAACAGGGTCCATCCAGGTGAACAAAGCAGGCTGTGCCAGGGGAGGCGACGAGGGGCCCTCGTAGGAAAGGACAGCAGTGTACACAGCTTGCAATGAACTTGAAAATTAGATCCTGGCTTGGCGGGTTCTCCAGACATCTCAGGCTCCACCAGGGAGGCAAAGGTGGGAGTTCTTCTGCAAAGTGCAACTTCCACTCCACTCTGGCTCCCAGCTCCTCCCACGCAGGGCCGGGTGGGCCAGGTGAACAATCCCTGATGCGTCCCTCTCCAGAGGCAGGCAGGAGAGACCCTACAAAGCTGTCAGCTCCAGCAGTCGCCTATGGACGCAGCAGGGCCCCTGGCAGTCGCCCTGTGGGGCTCTGGGCCCAGAAGTGGGACCATATAAAAAAACATTGTTTTTTCACCAAGAATTTCTTCTCCTGTCCTTCACTCGGTACAGATGTCTCCATCATTTAAAAGAGAGAGAGGATGCCCACCTCAGTCCTTTTACAGGAGGGGGTCTGGTCTAGCCCTGGCGGGCTGCCTCGGGGGGCTCCCCTTCAGGACACAGACCCTGGGAAGTCCCAGGGCCTCAGTGCCTGGCTGCCTCTTCCTGGCTCAGCCCGTCTTCCAGAGGAGAGTGAAGCCCACAGTCGAGTTCCACTGAGTCAGGGCAGCTATGTGTCCACATGGAGGTTCTCATCACGCCTGGGGATTCCTGCTCACGGTCACAGGGGAAGTAGGGAGACAGATGCTGAGAGATGGCAGGGCCACTGGTGAAAGCCATCCCCAGCCACCACTGTGCTGCCCTCAAGGATGGTGTCCAGCTCTCTCAGCCCAAAAACCTGAGCCAACAGTGCTTGGCAGTCGCAGTGTGCAGCCTCCAGAGGCACCCTGGGGAACATGGTGGTCCTTCTGTCCTAGGGGCCTGTCCATCCCGGTCCAGACCTAGAGTAGATTCCGTTGGGGTGCAGTTCCCTCAGCAAGACATGCAAGCACAGCAATGAACCAAAAGTGCAGTGAAATAGAGTTTCTTCTTTTCCATTGTGGGTTTTTTTTTTGCCTTTTCCTTTTTCTTAAAAAACACACACGTGTGTGCTACCATGTCTGTGCAAAGAATAAGGACCCAAAATAAATACATGATCGGAAATGCAGGAGGGTTCACAGTATCAGGCGTAGGTAGTTGTCGGGGAGCCAGGGCAGGGCAGGCCGTCTGGATGGGGGTCGCTCAGCAGCCAGGAGTGTCGGTGTCGTCAGGGGAGGACGAGGGTGAGGGCTGGCTGCCAGGCGGGCATCTCCCGAGCTCTGGGCTGAGCGAGGCGGGCAGTGCCTCCAGGAAGCGGCCGGGGCAGCAGCGGGCACTCGGCTCCGGGTCAGTGTCTGCATAGGAATTACTGCAGAGGCAAGGGGGCGGGTGAGCTCGGGCCAATCCCCACCCGCCCGGCCTCCCTTGGCTAATGTCACAAGCCAGGGACCCCAGGAGCCGTGAGGGCTGGACACAGGCCATGGTGCGGCAGAGCCCGGCTGCCCCTCCCACTGGAGACCTCAGTTTCCCCACTGGTCCCAGAGGTGTCTGGGGCTCAGGCCCTCAGGCCCTCCTGGGCCAAGGCCGTGGTCTGAGCCCCGAGTGGGCCCGGCTGGCCAGCCATGGGCTCACTTACTGTGTCGCTCTCGCCGTCGGAGGCAGGCTGGGCCTGAGTGCTATAGTGAAGTGGGGAGTACACCCAGCTCCTCTCATCGGTGGGCTGCAGGGCGGGTGGGCGGGCGGGCGGCACGTGCAGGAGGGGCGCAGAAGAAGAGCAGGGTGCGAGGAGGCGCGAGAGGCGACAGGGAGGAAGGAAGGAAGAAACAGAAATAAAAGAGGGGGACCCCCAACGTGGGACGAGTGGGCGGCTCAGCCCCCGTGCCCTCTCCCTGACAGGACCTGCCCCAACCTGGATGGCCCTTGGGCCTGGTGGGGCGGGGGCCGGGCCTCCGGGGCTGAGTGGCCAGAGCGTGGCAGGGGGCGGGGTTGGCAGCGGGAAGCGGAGCGTGGGTCAAGAGCCGGCACAGCAGGAGGGGGAGGCGGGCGGGGCTCGGTTTGCTCTGCTGTCCGCCCACCCCCGGCCCCCTAACCTCTGTCCTAGCCTGGCAGCACCCCAGCTTCAGGCCTGCCTACCACTGGGGACTGCCAGCTGGAGCAGCACCCTGGGGACGCACTGCGGGGGTCCTGGATGGTAAGGGTACAGGGTGGAGCCCACTTCCAGCCCTGGAACACACAGACCTGCTCTGGGACCGAGGCAGGTGCCCCCCAGAGAGCAAGCAGCAGAGGCCTCTCTGCCCCATACCTGGGGCACAGGGATGCCTTCCTGGGGAGGGGCACAGGCAGAGTGGGGACTGGCCACCAAGGGGCCCCTGGGTCTGGCAGGGGCAGGCTGATCTTTCTCCAGCCGTGTCTGGGCAGGGGTCCCAGGATGGGCTCACCAGGGGGAGAATGTACTCTTCCCCAGCCCTCCTCGCCCTTCCTAGGTCTGCCCTCACCACCAGAGCCCTCCTGGGCCTGGCAGCTCCCTTGGGGCTCCCCAGCCACCTTCTTGTCTTTCCTCTTCCCCTCACTGCACGCCGGCCTTCAACACCCCACAGCCTGTTCCTTTCACCCCAGCCAGAGCACACATCTGTCCTAGCCACGCCTCCCGGGCTGTCTTATGGCCCCTAAACCCACCACGGCCCCCCAGACCCAACCCTCCTTGGCCCGGCTGGGAGGATCATCAGCAACCAGCCTCTGCCCTCCTGCCCCTTGGGGTCTACCTGTTCCAGGTACCTACACAGCCCCTGCCTCTACACCTGCTCCACCCGACTTTCCCCACAGCTCACAGGCCACGATGGTACCCACGTGGACCTAGAAGGCCCAAGAAGGCTGTGTCCCCACGTGGGCGGGTTCCCACAAAGGCACCCAGAGGCAGGGCAGCAGGGTGAGACCCAGTGCAGGCCCTGCTCGTGCCTTCAGGGGGTCGCAGAGCCACAGAACCCATATCTGGCCACATGGGAGCCCAAGGCACAGGTACAGGCCTGTCTGTGGCCACAGCAGGTACTGACGCTGGGGTGGTAGCCCTGCTGGGCTCAGAATGTGGGTGACACAGGGGTCCCCAGGAACCCTGTGATGAGCTGGCCCTGGGTGACCCACAGAAGTTGAGTCCAGGACATGCCTGCCCTGCACAGCAGGCCTTGGGGTCCAGTCTTCCTCCTGCCACTCCCTTGCCTCCCTCTCCAACCATTGGCCCCCAGTATCTGATTCTGTGGTGCCCCAGTGAAGATAGCCCTTCCTCTTCCACCTCCCCACACCCCAGGTGCATCTCAGAGCCCGCCTGACCCCTTCCAGATGGCCTTTGCCACTGGCTCCCCTCCCCATGGCCCTTGGGCACCATGTGTCCCCAGTTCTGGGACCATCTCTGGGGTGCAGTGGCCCCGGCTGGACCAAGCGTGGAGGGGATCTCCCCTTTTCAGGCTTGCTCGGCAGTGCATGACACCTAGCGACGCTCAGAGGGACGACTGATGGGGCTGGAGTGTGGCCTCTGAGGAGCCTCAGCTTGAGAACACAAGGGCTCGTGTTAGATCTTTGCCCTGTTCTGCCCACTGGGTGCTGCGTGCCTCTGGGAGGGCAGCTGGCCTCTCTGGGCCCCCTGTTTACTGCTCAACGATGACAATAACGAGCACTAACAATGCCACTGCCACACAACATCCCCACAGCATCCCAGATACGCCGGGTGGACAAGTGTTTATTAGACATACGCCTGAAGTTTGGGACCTAGATTTTGTCTACACTACATGCTCGTGGGCTACCTGGGGAGCCAGGGTCTGTTTCTTCATCTGTGAAATGGGTACAGAGACACCAACTCCTCTCTCCTGTAATTAAGAGCTTGGCTTTGTGGTCCTTCCGCTGACCTGGGAGGAGGTCACCCCCTTCAGGGGACAGACACTCCGGGAGTGCTGTCAGCAGCAAGATCTGAACAAGTGGGAGCTGTCCACGTGACACGCCCCTGACCCAGGAGTGCTGGGACGAGGGGCAGGGGCGGCTGGGGGCTGGGGGTCAGATGCCGACCCTACCATGGCCAGGCTGTCCCTGGGAGCCGCAGCGGTGTGCCCGCAGGTGCCATGACGCCCAATTCGGCGGGCAGTAAACGTCCCCACAGGACGCCCACAGCCCAGCGCCCCATGAGGGCCAGCGTGGCCGACCTCAGCCGCAGAGATGTTTTCCCCACGTCCCTTCTTGGAGGAAGAGGGACCAGGACTTGTGGCTCCCTGCTGCCCAGGGCGCGGGGTGGGGCCTGGCTCCCTGGAGGCCTGCCGTGGTCACTTACAGTCCCTGAGGAGCTCAGCGTCACGGCCCGCAGTCGGCGATGCCGGGGAGAGTAAATCCAGTACCTCCCATCGGTGAACTGGGCGGGCCGGGCGGGCGGGGGAGGAAGCAAACAGAGGACAGGATGAAGTGATAGGACGAGGCCACGGGACTCTGGCGGGCGGGCAGGCGGGGAGGGCATCGGGCGGGGCAGGTAAGCTGTGCCAAGCGGGAAGAGGGGGTTGGTGTCCCACTGGCTTTCTTCTCTGCTGCGTGCCGGGCCTGGCTGCAGATCCGGGTTTCACGCCCCCGACTCCTGACAGGACAGGGCCCGAGGCCGCCTCACACACAGATCCAGAGGACAGGACAGATCAGCCCCGCTGGGGTGGGGATCAGGGGGAACACAGGGTGTGCTCGCTTGGTGCCCTGCAGGCCAGGCAGCATTGGCTTGGGGACTGAGAGCAGGGGGCTGTTAAGAAGCAGCGATGTCAGCAGGAGGGCCAGGCTCACCCAAACAGCCCCGAGGCCCAGTGCTGGGCAAGGGCAAGGTTGGGGGTCACAGGTGAGAATGAAAGTCTGGGAAGAGGACAGCAGGTGGGGCTGGTGTTTGGCCCTCTCTGCTGTAATCAGGACCATCTGATTCCGGAGCGGGGCATCCTGGGGAGACAGCTCAGGACCCACTGTTAGGGGTGGGGCGGTCACTGGACTGGGCTTTGCGGGCTCCCAGGCCCCCTAGGACCCCCTTCATCCAGGTTCCTGCCTGCCTGTGGGAGGTGTGAGTGGGAGGAGATGGCCAGCTCTGGAGGGAGGTCCCAGGTACCCAGGGGAGGGCCCCCTCCTGCTCTGACCAGACCCCACCTTGTCCAGGAGCAGCTGTGAATCCTCGTCCCTTGAGGCCGGCAGCATGGAGCCCACCTGCCCTGGCCTCCCTAAGCACGGAGCCTGCCCGCTGTACCCACTACCCGGTGAAAGAGAAGGTGTGTGTCATGCCAGCCCCACGGTCAGCCTGGGCCTCCCCTTGGGCCAGGGGGCTGAGCACGCCGGGACTCCAGACGCCTCCCCAGGCCCCGCTGGGCGCAGGGCCAGACATGGGCACGAGGCTGGGGAGGATGGCGGGGGCAGGGCGCTGCTGCATCACCTGAGAGTGAGCTAGTGTGAGGTGAGCACACACTCGTGCCTGCGCCCGAGGGAGGCACCTGCAGGTGTGCACGAGTGCCATGAGCGTGCAACGCATCCGTGGGAGTGTGAGGGAGTGGCGTGCCCGTGTGTGAATGGGGTGGTCATGAGCATCCGTGGGTTTGTATGGGCACGTCTACACACCCGTAAGCACAGGTGAGCGCGGGTGGTCGAGGGTCCGGCGACAGGAGGAAGCCCTGGGGGACTTACAAAGTAGATGTCCGTGGCGGGTGCGTCTTCCTCGTCTGAGGCCTGGCTGGCGGGCTCGGAGGCCTGGCTGGCGGTTTCCGCTTCGACAGCGGCAGAGGCACAGGCTGGGGACGCCCCCTCCCTGGGTACACGGGCAGGACATGGGAGTCCTGGGTGGGCTCTGGAAAGCACGCATCTCCCTCCACAGCCCGGACCCTCCCCACTCCCCCTATCTCTCATGGAGACCACAGACGCAGGAAGTTCAACGGCAGGGATGGGTTCTGCCTGACACATTCTGGTTCCCCCACAAGACAGAACACCCCTAAGCACCACTGCTACCAAGGGAACCAGGAGCCCGGCTCCGAGCAGGTGGCCTGGCCCCCTCCACTCACTCAGGGGCACGCCTGTGGGCGAATCCCCGCCTCACCACTCACTCGCTGGGCAACCATGAGGACTACATTCTTTCTCAGGGCCTCAGTTTCCTCGCCTGTAAAGTGGGACACATACCCACCCCTGAGGGGCCAGAACCTTTTGCTCCTCTTTCCAGGACACTGCCTAGGTGCCAGGCCTATTCGAGGGCCTGCTGTTCTGTGTTGTTGATTTGCTCAGTTAGTCTGACTCTCTTGGGACCCCACGTATTGTAGCCCACAGGCTCCTTTGTACATGTGATTTCCCAGACAAGAATACCAGAGTGGGGTGCCATTTCCTTCTCCAGGGCATCTTCCAGACCCAGGTAATGAACTCACGTCTCCTACATTGGCAGATGGGTTCTTTACCACTGAACCACCAGGGAAGCTCCTGTCCTGTGTTACAGATGAGGAAACTGAGGCACAGAGTGAAGGTGGGGAATGTGCTGGAGGCCACGGCTGGCGGCCATGTGATTAGTGAGAAATTCACTTCTCGGATGAGGAGCTCAAAACCTAATAAAGTTAGAAATAAGTACCAAAAAGGTAAACAAAAAATCTTAAACACTTGAGAGACACCCCTGAAATGCCTCAGTCCAAGGTCTCACCCTCAGTACTGTTGACAGTGGGCAGGTCATTCTTTGTGGGGGGCAGTCCTGGGCAGAGTGGGGTGTAGGGCAGCCTCCCTGGCCCCCACCATGATGCCAGCAAACCCCCGAATTATGACCACCAGAGATGTCCCCAGACATCACCCACTGTCCCCTGAGGGCAGAATCACCCTCAGGTTGTTGAAAGCCACTATCTTAATTCAAAGAGGAAATTAAAAAAAAGAAGAAGAAAATTACTACCCATCTGTACCTGAGCCAATATAAAAGAACTGCTTCATGTCAAACCCATGGCACATGGCAATAGCAGCACTCAGAGAAAAACACATAGCCTTAAGGGCCTCATTGTTAAAGAAGGAACTTAAGCACTCAACCTACACTGGAAAAAAGAAACAAGTGAAAAACAAACCAGAAGCAGCTAGAAAGAAGACATTACTGGTGAGTTACAGTGAATGAGATAAAAAACAGAACACAACAGGGGACCAAGCTTAGTTTTTGAAAACCTCATAGGTTACCGTCGTGCAAGCCCTGACAAAGCCAAGAGGATGTAGAGAGGAAATGAGGCAGGAAAAGTGACCTCAGATGACAGGGTGGCTCTGAGTCCTGGAGGAGGAAACCCTTCCCGGAGTGAAAGACCCACACTATTCCTGGCCTTCCGTGCCCCCTTCCCAAGCTGGAAGCCCCATTCCCACCCCTAGCTTGCACACTACTTTTCCTAGTCCGCCCTGTGGCCAGCTGGCTACATGACCACACTCGGCCAATGAGACGAGGGCAGAACCCGAGACCAAGAACTAATCAATCTACTGTGGGGACCACTCACCCTGCATCTTCCTCCTTGGGGACCACGATCTCCACGCTGCATGTGGGCTCCACTTGCACTGTGATCTGCTGCAGGTCCTCCTCCGCGTGCATCTCCTCCTGGGGCCTGGAGGCAAAGGGAAGCCGCGCCTCAGTTTCCCTCCTCACCCCCCTCCGCCCTGGAAGTGCCTTCTGAGCTCCAGGCCGGTGTCAGTTTCCAGTTGCGGTAAGAAGCTTGGAGCTCCAGGAGGTGCTATCTCTGGGCGCCACTGGACCAGGGCCCTGAGCTGGCCCAGCTCATATCTGGTCCCTGGCTGTTCTGCCCACCTGGGGCTGCAAGAGGGCAGTGACTGACCATCCACCTGGGGCTAGCCTGTGACTCTGGCACCAGCTGGGACATAATGAGTGAATGGGGGTCTGGATCCTGCCCACCCCCTGGGGGCAGCTAGGCACCTGCCTGGGGCCTGCACTAGGGGGCTGGGGTGGTCCTGGGGTTCCAGGCCTAGATGCCTGATGTAGGTGGGTCAGAACATGCCAGCAACCAGGTGCGCAGATGGCACACCTCCCTGGACGGCAATACCGGAGAGCAGACGGGTGGCTGACGTCAGAGCAGGTAGCTGGACAGAGGGTGACGCACATGACTTTTTTTCCAACTGGCAGAAATTACTGCCCCCTGAAAACTAATTACAGAAAACACCCCCTCTTTAGTCCAGGCCTGTTACAAGATCAGATAACTGGGAACAACCCACGTGCCCGGGAGGGCAAGTCAGCCTGTTAGAGAAAGGAGACCAGCATCTACTCCACCTGTTCACACAGGTGACCTGCTGCCAGCAGGTGACACAGCAAAGGGCAGGGCGGCGCCCAGAGCGCATACTGGTTGAAATGAGAGGGAGAGACAGGCCCGAATGTGTGTCTTTTTGTATATTCACAAACGTCTCTGGCAAGAGACAAAAAAACCCGTCCGCGGGTTACTCCCAGAGAGGGGAGCGGGCATGGGGCAGGGGGCAGGCTTTTCTGTTTTTCCATTTGTATTTCTTACAATAAAAATATCAATAAGAGAGAGAGAAAGAATAACCAGCAGGCAAGTGCGGGAGATGAGTCCTCTGGGTACTGAGGTGGAAGACAGACTCCGAGTGACCTGACGGTCTCTGCGCTTCTAGAGCCTGACTTGAATCTGTGCTCAGGAGGGTGTGGTCAGAGAGGAAGGGCTCTGGTGGGGAAGGCGGAGGAGGGACGGGGGCAGGCGGTAGTGGGGGAGAGGGGAGAAGAGACAGGAGAGAAGGGAGAGGGCTGGGGTCTCATCTCACCGGCCATCCTGTCCCGAGGACTGTGTGCGCCGCCTGCAGAGAGACCAAGAACACGTGGGAAAGTGGGGTGAGGCCCCTCCCAATCAACGTCCTGCCCACCCCACCACCCTGCCCATTCCGCGGCCCAGGGATAATGGTCAGGTCTACTCACCTGTACCGCGGCTGCTCCGACGACTCCGAAGGGGACCGCTCTGGGATGGAGAGGGACGTGGAGGACAGGGTCGTGGCGATGGAGGCAGTGGTGGCCTCCTCAAAAGATGGTGGCGTGCAGGGCAAGAGGTCCGGCCGGCCTATGGGGAGGAGCAGGTGGGTACCTGTGCAAGCCAGGCGCCCAGGGCTGCTCCTGGGAGGCCTCTGAGCACTACCTGCAACTTGGCTCACCCCCAACTATCCATGCCCTCTCTCTCACCCACCGCCTCACACTGTTGTCCCGGCCAGCTTCAGGAGGGGAAATATGCTCCAATTTCCCCCTGGTGTAAGGCCTTCCAGTACCTATCCCCTGCTCTCAATTAAAAACTCCCCTCAGGGTCCTGCTCCACTGGCCTCTCTGCCTCGCTCTGCTTCAGCCACACACACTTCTCGCTATTCCCCGGACACCCACAGGCTAGGCCCCATCCTGCCCCCCAGGCCTTTGCACAGGCAGTGTCTCCCTTCCTTGATGCTCCCCCCCCACCACGCCCGCCCCTCCCTGCCTGGAGCCTCTGACCCAGGAGATGGGAGGGACCTTCCTGAACACCAGGCTGACCCCATTAAGCACTTCATCCCCCTAGGTCTCTGTGCATCTCTGATGTAGCGGGAGCCTGTCACCTGAGGGTCGGGGGTGGGGGGTGAATTCTGTGCTCAGCTCTCACTGTGGCTCTTCCAGGGGCCCAGTCCCAGCTGCTGCCCACTTCTCAACTGCAGATCTTGGGCTGAGGGGGGTGACTGTGACCCAGGCCCTCCCATCCAGGTTGGCCCAGCACAGGGGCCCCCCCCTTCTCAGCCCCCTTGTCTCCCAGCCACCTGCTCACCCTCGTCCTCCAGTGTGGGGTAGCTGCGGGCCCCCCGCAGGTCATACTGTGCATCCTCCCGCTCGCTGGGGATCTGGCTGGCCGAGAAGGCGGCCGTGGGCCCCAGGGGCTTGACGGCCAGCAAGGCACCACGGCCCTTCTTGGACGGTGAGGACTTCAGGGCTGTGGAGGGAGGGCGGCTGGTGCTGTGGAGCCCAAGCCCCACAGCAGCACCCAGACAGGGCCCCACAGCCCCCAGAGCCTCCTCTGTACCAAAGCCTGGCGGCCCCACTGCCCCACCTCAGCCTGTCTGCCAACACACTTCGCTCTTGCTCTCGGTAGGGGAAGCCTGCCCTACATTCTAGCTGGCTTGCCGGCAGGGGCAGGGTGGGGGTGCAGGAGCCCAGGTTCCCTGTCCTGCCCACTGGCAGAGATGTGATCCCAGAACTCCCACTCTAGCCCCCTGGAAACAGCAGTAGATCAGCAGCTGCCAATGTTTACTTAGCACTTTGGGGCCTGAGCCCCCGAGTCTCAGCCTACCTGACTCTCAGACATGGAAGCCAAGGGCCTGGTTCCCATCCAGGCTGCATGGCTTTGGGGCCCCCGAGCCCCCATCTGCAACAATGGGTCAAAGGAGGCAGGAAAATCCTGACACACCTTCCACACCACCCTGGCCCCACCAAGGCCTGTCACCAGCCTCTCCCGTGCCTCCGGTGGCCGCTGCCCCACACACAGTAGGTGCTCAGTTTGCCTTACACAGCCATCCAGTCCCGGAGGCTGAGGAACTGCCTGGGTCCCCAGCTCTATGCTACGTCCCAGAGGGGCCACCCCAGCTGCCCCATTCCCTGGACCAAGTCCCTGACTATGTCCTAGGGCTGGTGAACAGAGGACCAGGACCCTGGGTTTACCCTGCTCCTGACCTCCCACCCTTCTCCCTCTGCACCCCCACCCAGAGGGCCCGGGCACTCACAGGAGTTCTTCCGGAAAACTGTGTTGCTCATGAACTTGAAGAAGCGCTCGGCATAGAAGCTGGGCCGGTGGACGGAGACTGTGTCCTGGGAAGGGAAGGGGGGCCTGAGGGCAGGCAGGGGATGAGGGCTGGGGTGGGGCCCATGGGAGCCCCCATGTCAGGGCTGGTGTATCACTTTGGTGGGGATGGGACCCTAGGAACCAGTAGTGGTGGCAGACACAGGGAGGCAGGGAGATGGTTTCGTGGTAACGGTGTCCATATTTTTAATTGTTGACCCTCATGAATAAAATGGCTATTCAAAGAGGTAACTGAATAAACATCAAAATCAAGAAACTGCAAAGAACCTCTAGAGCTGGGGGGTGGAAGGAGAGTGTAGCTGACCCTGCTGCAAAGGAAGGCTTTGTCCTGGGGGCAGGCAGACCCGCTCCCGCACGCATGGCAGGGCGGCCCTGGCCATGCACTGCTTGTCGGCACCCCCGGGTGGACCCGAGCCTGCTGGGCAGGCCAGGACGCAGGGCTGGGGTGCCTGTGAGGCAGGGAGCCCGGCACACAGTTGGGGCGCCATACTGCAGGGCCCCTGGGTGCACACCCTGGATCCAGTCTGCTCACTTGCTACGGCATTATCTCCCCAGCACTGCTGATCACAGGCCAGTCGTTCTCTGGGGGTCCATCCTACGCCCTAGGGTGGCACCAGCATCCCTGGTCCCCACCCACTAGATCCAGTGTGACCACCAGAGACGTCCTCAGAAACTGCCTGGCAGCCTCCCCTGGCTATAATGTAACAGAATGCATCTGGACACAGGGCCTCTCTCCCATCCTGGCCTGCCCTGAGGTGGTCACATGGCCTCGGGGACTCATCCTGGTTGATGGTGAGTGAACAAAGACAGCAGAAGAGTCTCTCCGCCCCAAGAGGAAGATGCCTCTCTCTCTGGCTGGAGCCAAAATGGGGGCTGCCATCTGGGCCAGGGCCCAAGGGCAACGCCTGGGGTGTACGGGGACACACAGGAAGAAGCTGGCCCCCAGTACTGTGGCGCCACCCTACCAGTCTCAGGTTTCACACACCTGGACGGTTACTTTTTTTTCGGCCATGGTGCATGTATGGCAAGCGGCATCTTAGTTTCCCAACCAGGGACTAAACTTGTGCCCCCCATGATGGGAGCTTGGAGTCTTGACCACTGGACTGCTAGGGAAACCCCTAGATGGTTACTTTGATGTTTGGGTCCCTCTGGAGCTGACTTCGATCTTCTGACAGGGTTGCGACCCCTCCATCTGCTTTCCCTTCTGCTGTGGGTTCACCGCACAGAAGGGTTTCTGGCCAGCCCCACCCAGGATGGAACATTCTGAAAGCTCCCCCGGACCCTCGAAACACTCTGAGGGGGTGTTAGTGGCATAGTGGGGGAGGCTGTTGGGACCTTGGGTTTTGCAGACTGCACACACACAGACAGCCCTCAGCACTCAAGTAAGAACTGGCCTGTGGAAGCTACAGCGGGAGAGGCCTCTGCCTAAGGGTCCACAGCGGACTAGGGCCACAGATGGACAGTTTAACCCCAGCAGTTGGTCCTCACAGTATTTTACACTTTGAAGTAATTCACTGCAAGGGTTTACGGGTAGGCTGTGCTCACAGGAAGACACGAATTTCCAGCTTTTTTTTAACAACTGAGCCCAACTGTGTAAGCAGGCCCAACCTGCAGGGTCAGCAGGGTCAGAGCTGTGCAGTGCTGCCCAAGACCCCCTCCATGTCACACTTCCAGAATGTTCCCTGCCTGACTGGCCCCTGACTTTCCCAGCCTGCCCTTACTTCTGACTCACTTGGGGCCCCCAGTCCCGTCCCTCGGGAAGCCTGTATGCTAAGCCTGAACCCTCACAGATGGCTCGGGCCCCTGGTGCAGGGGTCTCATGGCTGCCTCACTGCCTTGTCTTGGCCCTGAGCCCCTGGCCTGTGACTGTGGCTCCAGAAAAATGGACGTGTCCCTCAGCTCTTTAGCACCCAGGTCTGGCCCAGGGTGATGGTCAGGATGTTTGCAGATGGCTAGACAGAATAAACAAGTGGAAGATGCTCACGCCATCGTGGACAAGAGCCTTCCAGGTGTGTTCCAGCTTCTTGATGAACCTGCAGAGGAGAAAATGCCCAGGACATCAGCCACACCTCTAGGTCTGGAGGAGGTCTCTTCCAGGCGAGCTCATCCCAAGGCACACAGGTAGCCTCCAGGGACCTTTGCGGTCATTATGACTGGGAACGTTCCTGGCATCAACGGGGCAGAGAAGCCCTGGTCGAGAAGAACCAGGCCACCTGCTGCACCAGTCAGAGGCCACCCTGCTCTTTCCGGGCCCCTTGACCCCTCCCCACTGGCTGGCTGCTCCCATTGCTGCTACTCTGCAGGAGGAAGTGGAAAGGCTGAGGTGTGTGGCCCTCCATTCCTCGTTCCCCTGGCCCAGGCTGAGCCTGTCTCCTCCCTGCTGGAGGGAGCACCCAGTGCCTCAGCCAGGCCCCAGTACCACACCTGGGCTGGGGAGCACATTGCCGCCTCCAGGCAGCCCCCCCCAGACACCTCTGGGCTGCAGGGGGAAGGATATCCTCCTTGATACACACGCCTGCCCTGGGATGAGCACTGGCTGCCCGCCCTGGGCTGTCTTGCCCACCTTGCCCCACCTGGGTCTCCACGGAAACCCTCACTCATTGCTCGGAAAGCTGCCTGCTCTGCTCCATGCTGGGAGGGAGACACCAGCAGGAGATGAGGTAGCCCAGTCTTGGCACACAGCAGGGCCCACAGTCAGCCAGTGACACCCCACTCTCTACCCTGCCCTGTGCCAGCCCTGACCTGTCCCCGACCAGGCTCTCACTGGGGAGTGGGGGAGTCAGGCCAGGGGCATGCACCCACCCCGGCAGGATGGGGGGCAGTGACCCACCTGTAGGACTGCAGGATGTCGATGATTCCGATGTGCAGAAGCAGCCGCTCTCCTCGACCATTCACAGCGGGGATCCCCCCCATCCTGAGGAGAGGGGTCAAGACTGTCAGCACCCATGGAGCCAGCCCAGGGATGAGCCCTGTCTATCAGGAGCACAGGCTGGAGGCGGCCTAGAGCCCCAAGCCAGGGGTACCTGGTCTGAGCCTTAGTGGCACTGAAACAGAGGGATGAGCGGGCAGGAGTGACGGAGCCCAGGGCTTGAGGATCCACACGCTCCCTGTAGGTGGCTACCTGGCCGGGCCCCTGGAGAGGGGCCTGACACCTGGGAAGGCCGCCACGAAGAGGGATCGGGTGGCCTTCCTGGCCTGCTCACTGAGTCAACGCGGGCCAGAGGCTGCCCAAGGGTCCGGGCAACGAGACTCAAGTACACGCATACCCACATGTGCACACACAGAGCTTGCACACATACACAGGTGCATGCACACACGGAGCTTGCACACTCACACACGCACATAGGTGCATGCACGAGCACATACACACCCAGGCAAGGCCGGGCTTCGGGCGCAGGCTGGGGAGTTAAAGCCGCTGCAGCCCCAGGCCAAGCCCGCCCGTGCAGTTAGTGGGGCCCACGAGGCAGCAGCTTCCTGCACGCCCAGGCCCCCCGCAGGCTCTGCCAGCCACACTCCACGCAGCGCTCACCTTCGCACCTGCTGTCTCGCCTGGCCTGGCACCAACCCTACAAATGCCAGACGGCTGAGCTCTGTGCCCACTCAGGTCCCCCCCACTCATTCCAGGCAGGCCCTTCAGCTGGTGGCCCAGCTTGGTGGCCAAGCTTTAGCAGGTCCCCCAGCTGGCTGTGTACTCTGATGGCTACCCCCCGCCGTAAGGACAGGACAAGGTCTGGACGTGGAGGGTCCAGCCAGCTCCCATGTGGTTTGTGCATGGTGATACAGGGTCAATTGTGGCACCTGTCTACAGCAGCGGTTCCCATTGGGGGTGACCGTCCCTGGGGACACTGGTGCTGCCTGGGGACAGTTGTGGTTGTCACAACCATGGTCAGGAATGCTGCTCCACCCCTCACAGTGCCCGGGACACCCAAAGAGTGACTGGGGCCTGCATGGGGTGGGGGTAGAGATGCCCCGTGAGCCTGTCTCTGTGCCCGAGCCTCGAGGGCAGGACCAGGTTGGCTGTTTGGGGGGTCAGAGGGCACACTCTCCTCTGGACTGTCTGCTCCCACAGCCACCTGGCATCACTAGGGAAGAAACGTTCTCAGCCCCCGCACCCCTCCTCCCCGGGGTCCTGGGCAGGGATCTTGCTGTGAAAGGGTCCCTGTGCCCAGGCCTTTCCACCTTCTCCTGGCTGCCTTCCAATACCTTTCCAGCTTTGCTGCCTATGGTGAGGCTTTAACTCCCCTGGGTCCAGGGCGGGGGTACCTGTGTTTCCCACAGGGCTGGCCAGTGACCTCCGTCTACTGACTGACTGAGTCGGATGCCAGGGTCAGAACACCCAGCCACAGCTGTGCGCCCAATATCTAACTCGCAGGGCCCAGGGGGTGGGGATGGGTGGGCACTGCTGGCTTACAAACCAGAAACCTGCCAGGTTCTTGACTTGGCCTTGTCCCTCTCACCTTCCTCAAGGCTCCCCCTCCTCCTCCCCCTTGCCTGCTTCTCTCCTGGCAAGGGGGCTGGGGCAGAGATGAGAGCTGAAAGCACCCCCAGTCCCAGCACCTACGTGTCATCTGTCTCGATGGCCTCCCCGCGTGCGGCGCCACCCTGGATGGACTCCATGGCTGTGGAGTAGAGCGCCTTCTGGCCCAGCGGCCGCTTCTCATCAGCTGTGCTCTGGGCGCCCTCAGCCTGCCGCTCGCGCTCCTGCTGGTCGATGTTGTGGACGCCCAGGAGCAGGCTGTAGTCCATGATCTTGAAGCTCTCCAGCACCTGCAAGAATAGAGGTCAGGGGTCGGCCGACTCTGTCCCGGTACCTTGACCCTGGCTGGTGCTGAGCCTGAGCTGCATCCAGGTGTGTGTCCACTGAGTCCCCACGGCCAGGTGGGGAGGTCCTCATCCCATTTTACCAACCAGGTGAGCAACAGGCCAGGCGGGTAAATGAACCACGGTGGGTGGGCCTGGGGAGTGGCTCCTGACCTGAGGTCAGGGTGCCTCCGAGCCAGCCCCACACCCCCACCCCTGCCCCGGGTTCAGAAGCCTGGTTTACTGGCCACCCCACCCTGCTCCAGACCATGAGGTGCAGCCCAGGACGTGGACACATGGGCACTGGGGATGGGGCCTGGAAGCCATGGGACCCGGAGATGGCTGGTGGTTTTCTGGGGTGTCTGGGAGCCAGGGGTGCAGGGCAGACCCTGGAGGACCCAGGCCTGACCTGAACCCCCTCCAGACCTCCGTATCCTTGCCTTTGAGGCAAATGAGGGGCGGGGTGGACCACAGTAGCAAGGCCTGGGATGAGCCTGGCAAGCCTTCTTTCTCCCTAAGAAATACCTGCCTGTGCAGGAGGGTGGCTGCACAGACCTGGGTCTAACTGCTGGGTCTGAGGAGAGCCTTAAGTTTTTTCAGTTTTGCTTTTGTTTTGGCTGTGCCGCAGGCACGCAGGATATTAGTTCCCTGATCAGGGATCGAACCTGTGTTCCCTTTGAGTAGAAGCTCAAAGTCTTAAACACTCAAACACTCAGGCCAGGTAAGCCCTGAAGTGCACCCTGAGTTGAGCCCTGAAAACCTCAGGCTGCCTGGAGGCGCTGTCTGGCAGCAGAACACAGCTTGTGGGAGAGGGTGGGCGTGGGGCATCTCTCGGGGTCACACGGTGCTCGCTTCTCCCTGTGTCCCCCCTTCACAGCTGGGAGGACGGGGCTTAGACACAGGACCCGGCCGACCAGCCAGCCGCTCCTCACCAGGCAGTCGCGCTGCAGCGTCTTGACGAGTGCAGAGAAGGTGTCGGCATCAAGCATTAGCCCCTCAGGCATGTCCTGAATGAAGTCCAGGTCCTTGTAGGTGGGGATGCTCTTTTCCTTCTCCTTCTTGCTGGCCCGCCGCTTGTAGGTGGAGCCTTTGAGATCGAACTTAAGGTGCATCTTGACCACGCGTGGCAGCACATTGTTCATCACAACCACGCGGATGTTCTTGCCACCCGACTGCACGCAGTATAGCCCATAGAACTTGGGCAGCAGTGTCCGAGGGTTCTGGTTGAGGTTCTGGTGGAGGGGAGAGGGCAGATGGAGAGGACGCCAGGAGCCTTGCTGGGACCCCACACAGCACCCTGTGGCTTGCTCTTCAGAGCTCAGGCCAGAGGCCACCTCTTCAGGAAGCCCGCCCTGACCACCTCCCTGAGGCCTGCCCTCTCTCCTTGCCCCTAGCACCCGGTCAGCTGAACTCCTCATTGCCCCACCTGACTGAAAGTGCCAGGAGGGTCTGTTTCTATAAGGCCAGGCCCAGGGAGAGGTGGCCTTTCCATAAATGGCCCCATGGGACTTCCCAAGGAGTTGGGCCTGGTTTCCCAGGAGGTCAGACCCTGGTCTCTCACCTCCCCAGTCTGCCCTGGGGAGATGGGAGTTAGTTGGCCTCTAGACATCAGGCCATTTGTCTTTTTTGAAAATTTTTTTGGCTGTGCCTCGTAGCATATAGGATCCTAGTTCCCTAACCAGGGATTGGACCTGTGCCCCCTGCATTAGAAGCATGGAGTCTTAACCCCTGGACCATCAGGAAGTCCCAGGCCACTTGTCTTTGTACAGCTGGGAACTAAGAATGGTTGTACATTGTTAGGAAGTTGATAAAACTAACCAAAAAATAGTGTCCTGTGGCATGTGAAAATTACGTGAAACGCACATGGCAGTTCTATCGGCACTAAGCCGGGGCCACTTGCTCTCGCCCTGTCTGCGGCAGCTTTCTTGCTAGAGCGGAGCCGTGGAGACAGAGGCTGTGCTCACAAAGCTGAAAATGTTTGTTTTCTCATGTTTCACAGAAAACGTTTGCTGACCCCTGACCTAGGGGAGCTGAGGATCCCACCCAGGATCATATATGGTGGGGTGGGTTACAGGGTGGGGGACGGGTCACAATCTGTGCAAAGTTACCCAGGGCCTGGCCACGCCTGCCAGGCAGCAGGGAAGGCTGGCCCTCTGGCAGGGGTCCTCATGTCCCGTGTGGGTGTGTATCAGGACCCCCACCCCTGGGGGCCAGGAAGTCTGAGGTGCCTGCTCCCACACTCCCAGGGGCCTGAGTGCCAGCTGATAGCCCAGTTCCTCCCCAGTGCCTGTCTGAGTCACTGGCTGTTGAGACTTGAGGCCCAAACCCATGATTTCTGGGAGGTGGGTGGTGGGGCATGGCCACCAAGGCCCAGATGGCTATTCCTGCTTGCCACGTGAGGGGGTCCTGCAGGTGAGGCTCGGTGACCCAGGACGGCCTGTCAAGGCCTGCCTAGAGGGACAGTTCCTGGAGGGGGTGGTTCCCAGGAGGGGTAGTTCCCAACGTGCGGATGCCCGGAGCTCCTCAGCAGAGGAAGGCCTACGTCCAGGGGCGGCCAGGCTCCCCACCATGTAGTAGCCAGGCAGCAGCTTCTGCAGGAACTCAGCCTCCTTGTGCATCACCGTCTTGATGATGAACTCGTCGTCGCTGGTGACGTAGAACAGGGAGCCGCTGGCACCGGGGTTAGACAGCTCAATAAGTGGCTCGTTGCACAGCGAGTACTGAAAAGGGGATGGTGAATGGGTGGGGTGGTCACCGACACCCCACAGGCCCAGGGGCTGGTGGCTGATCCCAGAAGTGGTCACGGTCGGCTCCATGTGATAATCACACAGGAGACCGTAGTGTCTGGAAGGAATGGAAGGCCTGGCCAGCAAGAACGGAGCCTGGCTGATGACACCATGGGTTTGGAAGAGACCCGATGCAGTTGAGTCCACCTGAGGCCACAGCCCAGCCCTGCATGACAACCTGAGCAAGGAGCCCAGCAATGCTGCAGCCACGTCCCTGCCCCGTGGAGGCCGAGAACGACAAGCAAGTGGCGATCTAAGCCCCCGAGCCAAGGCTCAAGTGGGTGACCGTGTGACACAGCGGCTGCTGAGGACACACTCACCAAGTAGTCGTCTGGCCGAATCCCAAAGAGCTCCCGGAAGTAGCGGAAGGCAACAGGCGCATAGGTCTTGAACCTGAAGTCCTGGAAGTGATGGGCAGGAGTGAGGTTGCTGCCTTCACTGCAGAGGAAGCAGGGGGGAGACTGTGAGGTACCCAGGCCTGTGTACGCTCCCTCCCCCCACCGACAGCCCGCCTGCCTGCCCAGGCCCAGCCCCAAGGCACCCGAATAGCCAACCCAAAAAGTGACATGGGTCTCCTATGCTGGACACGGGTCAAAGGGCTGTGGCCAGTCTCGGGCTGTCCTCCAGTGATCACCCTCTCCTTCCTTCATTAGCCCACAGTGTGGGGTGCATACACAGCCACCCAGAATAAGACCACTGCCAGCCTCCTCCACAGCCAGGCATGATCAGGGTGCTGTACTTGGCCAATCCCATGAAGGGACGAGAATGACTTGGGTCTTTTCCTAGTCATGCCGTTAAAGGGCAGGGGCATGTGCTCTCCTTCTCTTTCCTGTGGTTGGAACACAGGTGTGATGGCAGGAGCCTGGGCAGTTCTTGCAGTCACTGGTTTGTAAAAGCAACATAGATGGTGGAGAAACCAGAAGAAATCTGGGCCCAGCAACATCATGGAGCCACCTGACCAATCTTCCAACCTTGGACTGTGTGTGTGTGTGTGTGTGTGTGTGTGTGTGTGTGTAGGTATACATTTACACACACATATTAGAAAGAGAGAAACAACAAACTCTTGTCTTCCTCTCTTTCTAAGAGTTGCCATTCTATTGCATCTCTCTGATTCAGCAGCAAACATCCTGACTGACACGGGACTGTACCTCAAAGGCAAGGGGAGCCCAGGAGGGGCCGGAGCCATTTCCAGCAGAGAAAAAGGCTGAAAGAACAGCAGGGGGTGTTGTGTGTGTGCAGGGAGAGTGCAGAGGGCTTGGAGCGGGCCGGGCAGGGTACCTGGGGAAGAAGATGCTCTCCACCACATAGAAGTCCTGCATGAGCACATCACGCTCCGGCTTGGAGCTTAGGTTGCCCACGGTGTAGCCGATGCCCAGCTGGATGGCCCCCTTCAGGGTAGAGGACGTGGTCTGCGGGAAACCCAGCTGCATCAAGACCCCTGGGGCCCACCCCTTGGCTGCCATGGTCCGAGACAGGATGGGAAGCCCCCTTAGGATGGAGGGGGCAGCATCCGGCCTGCGGCTCAGCCCCCAACACCCATGATCTCCGAGGGGCCCCCAGGCAGCACCCACCAAGCCCGTCACAGACATGCTGGCCTCGGGACCCCCACTCAGCCCACATAACCACATGGCCAGGAAGTGGCCTGACTGAGGTTCCAACACCACCATGAGGCCCCGTGGCCTGTTTTCTATCCACATTCTAGAAGGTTCCTACAGCTCAGAACCGCCTCGACTTGGCGGGGGTCTCCCACTGCCAGGGCTCTCTTTTGGGCAGCTGGAGTGCAGCATCCAGCAAGGCCCAGGCCTCCCTTCTGAGACCTGGGCTCCTCCTGTCTACTCTCAAAGGGATCTGCCTCTCTGCATCCCAGTCCTCCACCTGGCACTGGCCCTCCTGCCGCCCTCCCTCGAGAAGTACCAGCTGCCTGTCCATCTGTCAGCACTGCCATTCACGTTACCGTCACCATGAGCCCTAAGCAACACGCCCACCATCGAGGAAAGACGCCTTGGTCCTCGTTACCGACTCCGGTCCCCCGCATCCCCATCGCAGGGACAAGCCCTTCCCAAGCACCCACCCCTTCTGCTGAAGCCCCCCCTCAATCCATTCCCTCAAGATGACATCGACTGAACGTATCTCCAGAGGAGATACGTAGGTGACCGGTGAGCACAGAAGGTGCTAGGTACCACCAGGTGCCAGGAAGGTGCAAATCTAGACAGAGGGACCTGCTGCCCATGCACCGGTAGGGACAGATCAGACAGACAAGCACCACACAGGGCGGGAGTGGAGTCCCCATGCTCAGCTGGCAAGAACGGAAAACGTCGGTGGACAGTGTGGCAGCTCCTCCGAGGGTTACCTGTGACCCCCGGGGGCCCCAGAGGTTCCACTGCTAGGACTGCGGCCCAGGGAGGGCAGTGCAGCCCCGACAATCACCTGGACACAAGCCCTCACAACAGCACTGCTCACAGGAGCCAGAAAGGGTCCATCAGCAGAGGGTGGATACATAGAACATGTCCCTCCACCTATGGGAGCATCGCTCAGCCACAAAAAGGAGAGAAGCCCTAACACCCACTACCACGTGGATGGACCCTGAGGACACGATGCTCAGTGAGAGAAGCAGACACAGAAGGACACACAGGGTGTGACTCCACTGATGGGAAACGTGCAGAACAGGCAGATCCACAGACACAGAGAGTGGGTCCCGGGTTGCCAGGGGCTGGGGGAGGGGATGGGGACAGGGCTTTTGAGGTGAGGGAAACACTTTAAAATTGACTCTGGCGATGGCTGCACCGCCCTGAATACTCCAGAAACCGTCTAACTGAACACTTCAGAAGGGTGACTCACTCGCTGCACACACTTGCTCTCAGCGAGGTGGGTGTTTTTGGGAGGTGCAACCAGGCGGAGAGGACCAGCAGCAGTGGGGCCAGCTCACCACGCACAGCCCTGGCCCAACCTCAACCCCATCCCGCTCCCAAGGGACGAGAGGAAGCTGCAATTTCCTCTCGCTCAAAGTCACAGTCAAGGCCACAGTGACTTGAGGAGCCAGGCTGGTGGTGCAGCCTCCAGCCACAAATGGCCCACACCTGACCTTCCGTGGGCCCCGTGCACATGTGGGGGACCCCTCCTTGTCCCACCCCCGTTGACTGAGGGCAGAGCAGGAACCTTCTTGTAGGTGGTTTCGCCAGATGCATCCACACCCCGATGACCCAGCTTCTTCCCGTGGCCAGGACCGGGCTGTCCAGTCATCAGCGGGACCTGGGGAGGAGGAAGCAGGAAGTTCAGAATTGGCAAGAAACCAGAATGCTCTGGAAATCCTGGCCAGAAGGGGCCTCTGTCGCTGGGCCCAGCTGGAGTCTGGGGCAGGGGCTAGGTGGGTAGGCTGCAGGGCATGGGGACTCCTCTCTCTGGGGCCCACATCCCACATCTCAGCAGCCTGGGTCCTCTGCAGGGAGAAAAGCCCCAACTTCAGGGTCACCCCCACCCCCAGCACTGCTGACTTGGGGCTAGTCACTCTCTGGGGGGCATCCTGGGTGCTGTGGGGTGCGGAGCAACATTACTGCCTTACCGCTTCACTGCCAGGAGCCCCCCAGTTGTGACAACCACAGATGTCTCCAGACGGGTGAGACCCTTTGGACTGAAATGACAGTATCTCCCCCTGGATGGGGGAAAGGTCCCGCTGGTCTGTGGGCAGGCTGGTTCCTGCCAGCTTCATGGCACAGGTGTGACATCCTGGCAAAGTTGTGTGGAAGCCACTGGCCCCCGTGTGTGACATCACAGGGCAAAGATGGTGCACAGGGCCATGGGGCCTGAAGGACACATGCCAGCCCAAGAAGCGGGCCGAGGCCAGCCCGCAGATGGTGTGAACTTGCCAGCGTTCACAGGGCTCAGACCAGCCTGTTCTGCACACTGGCCACCAGGGGGCGGGCTTCCCTCAGGCAATGTCAGTTGCCAGCCCTGCTCTGCACCCCTCACTGGCTCCCCACTGCCAGTCAGCTGGACACCCCCCAGGGCCCCAGCAGGTAGGCAAAGCCCGAAGTGTCCTGGGAGACGAGCCTGGCTGGGAGGGAACATGGATGCCAGGGTGGCTCCTGCCATACCTGGGGTACTCTAAGCTGCTGCCCACGGCTCCTCAGATAACAGGGCTCACAGAAGCCCCTTGCAGGTGGCCTCCAGGAGTGACCAAAATTAACAAACTAGAGACAGGGTGCCAAGGGCTCATGCAAGTGGCCACCACCAGGAAAAGCTGCCTGGGGACAGGACCAGTGGGACCCTGGGGGGGCAGGTGTGGGACAGCAGAAGGCTCGGGGGAAGGCCAGCTTGGAGGCACTGCTGGCAGGGACATGCAGGGGGGCCACCCTCTCCAGGCCCCTAGGGGCTCTCCCCACCTACTCCATTCCTCCCAGAAACTCAAGATGCTGGTGGGACAGACGGTTTCCACCGTCTGACGACATGTGCTTATTTGCTATGCCAGCATCTGAGGCCCAGAGAAGTGCAGTGAGATGCCCAAGGCCACGGAGCAGGACGCGGGCGGGCAGGGCCCCGTCTACCTTCGGGAGGCAGGGAGGGTGGGACCCCGAGGACACTCACCTCTGCTGGGGTCGTCTTTTTCTGGGCCGAACCTGAGGAAGAGAAGGGACACTTTAGTCTGGACCCTTGGCCTCTGCCATCAGCACCGCCCCACACACTCACCCTGCGCCCCTGCAGAGGTGGGAGGGACCCCGCGTGGTAGATAGGCCTGGAGACACAATGTGGCGGCGGATGCAGAGTGACCATGCTGACGCGGCTCTGCAGGCAGGGGTAGTGGGAGGGCGGGTGGAGACAAGGCACAGCCCATCGCTAGGAGGGCCCCAAGCAAGGAGGGTGGACATCGCAGCGACCGGGTGGCAGTGATCAGCGGCTGCGGCCCAGGCTTGAGTGACAGCACCAGCCCCCGAGGCAGCTCGGTGATGGAGAGGCAGCCAACCGAGGACACCCGTGGTCCCTGTCCACATGGGCCCTGTCCGCACAGCCCTCATCCACACGGCCCCCATCCCCACGGCTCCTGTGGAAGGATGCTCCCAGTGGGGAGGCCAGCGACGTTCACCTCTCAGGACCACTACCACCCCCTCCACCCAGCTCCTCAGGGGGGCCTCAGGCCAAGCACGGGTGCCGCTGAGCTGGAGTCCTCACCCAGAAAGCTGGCTTCTGCTGAGGGTTATCTGTTCAGTGCGAGTGCTCAGCACACATCTGCCCCAACCCCCGGGACGTTCACATTCTGGTCCCAGAATGGGCTGTGCTGGGGGGTTAAAACCCCTGAGATGGGGATGACTCTGGATTCCCCAGGAGGCCCAGTGCCATCACAGGATCGTCATAAGAGGGAGGGGGTCAGAGGCAGAGAGACGGAGACGTTGCTCTGCTGGCTGTGAGGGTGGAGGGAGGGGCTGTGAGCCAGGGATGCGGCGCCTCTAGAAGCTGGAAAACGGGGGAGCCAGTGCTCCCGTGGAGCCTCCGGAGGGACGGGCCCTGCCCACGCCTGGATTTAGCTCCGTGAGGACTGAGGTGGACTCCTGGCCTCCAGGACTGTGAGATAATCAATCTGTGTAGTTAGCAGGTCAAGTCTGTGGTGACTGGTGTCTGCCAGGTGTCAGCGTGGAGGGGAGGCAAGTGGCGACCAGGGTGGTCCTGGCCCCACCTTCCAGGGCCCACAGTCAAGGGGTGCAGAGAAGGGTCTGGACAGCACAGCAGGTGCCAGGAGGACCACATGAAGAGACAGGTGGGGGGTCTGATCAGCAAGGGAAGGCTTGGGCTCTTACCTCAGGGAGACGGGAGCCCTGGAGGGCTGGGGTAAGGTGGGGGCACCTGACTCAGGTGCTCACAGGTGCCCCCTGGCGGCCGTAGGGGAACAGATGGGGGGGCGGGGGGGTGGCACACCCAGCCGGGAGGCAACTGCGCTACTCCAGGTGGGAGATAATGGGGTGGACCACGGTGGCCACCGCGCAGCATGTGAGAGAGAAGTGGGCAGACTGGGGAAGATCTAGAGTCAGGACAGACAGGCCGTGCTCACTGGAGGAGGACTGAAGAAAAGTGAGGCGTCAGGAATGACTAAGGATTTTGGAACAACTCACAGAAGGATGGAGCTGCCTCAGCCAGGATGGGGGCTGGGCAGGAGAGGTGTCGGGGATGGTCGGGGGCAAGGTGGCCATGTTGAGTGTGAGGCCCCTGCGTGAAGACGGGAGGGACAGCTGGACCCCACGTCAGGAGCTCAGGGAGGGCCCAGCTAGAGGCAAGGCTGGAGGCAGTTGTCCTGGGGCTAGATGGGGTTTGAGCCCCAACAGTGGACAAGACCACCTAGGAGATGTGGGGGTGCGAGTGGGGAGGCCCGAGGACCCGGCCCTGGGCCCTCAAGCCGGGGGGCAGGCAAAGGCCAGCAGAGAGCAGCAGGCCCAGGTGACGGGTCAGGGTCAGAATGTGCTCTCTGTTCGCCGGGCTCAGGCCAGGCCTGGGTCGGGCATGGCTACTGGGGACTCAGCTTCCTCTAGGAGGATGAGAATGGTCTGCAATCAGTGGTCATGGCCACACAGCACTGTAAAGATACAGGAAAAACTGAATTACACACCTACAGGTGAGTTTTCTGGTATTTGAGTTATCTCTCAATAAAGAACACAAAACAAAGATAGCACAGCCGTGGTGCAGCCAGGCTGGCTGAGGTGGGGACTCTCCTGAGCACCCTTCTGCCTGCAGTGCCCCCCTCCCGCCCCCGCCATCAGGAGACAGGAAAACCAAGGCCAGGGAGCAGCCGGCTCAGCCCTTCATGACACCAGGGTCCACAGAAGGGACTCTCCTGGAGGACACAGCCCACAGATCCCCGGAAGGCCGTAATAGCGCCAGGACGGGACACACCAGCCCACGCCCACCTGCTACATGTGGGCTCCCTGGCCACAGGATGAACCTGGGCTCAGCCCACCCTGAGGCCTGGGGCTGGGAGATGGCGGAAGGTGCTGGAAAGCTGACATAATATTTTTGTTGGCCGCCCAACAGCAGAACAATTCACGGTTTTGCGTCTGGGGTGTGGGGGAAGGAAGGGGGGATGAGGCAGGAAGTGCCAGTGGACTGAATGGAACATTCCAGACCGCGTCTGGGGGCCCCAGGCATCTCCTTCTCAGTCTACCTGGAGCACCTGGGCCCGAAGCCCAAGCCCTGGGCCCACCGACGTCCTCTGCAGCTCCCGACCCGTCCCAGCGTGGAGACAGTCCAACACCGTGGTCCCTGTCCCCTCCACCACCAAGGCCTCTGCAGTCTCAGGGCTGTGCGGGCGGGGCCGGCCAACACCAGCTCCGGATGTGAAGTCCAGCCGGGTCCGCCCCACCCCACCTGGAATCCCCCCAGGCATGAGGCCAGGAGGGCAGCAGGCAGGCTCTGAGCCAGCCCAGGTCACAGGCAGGGGTGCGCAGAGCAGGGGGAGAAGCAAGGGCAAGAAGTGGCCAGCACACCTGAGACGGGGTTCTGCCTAGACACGTACCTCGATGCCCCCTCTAGGGGCCTCCTTTCCCCTCCTCCAGAGCCCCACCATCTGTGCGCCCGCCTGCTTTCTGAAATGCCCTCTGGAGCCTTGCCCTTCAGCTCTGGGACCAGGAGGCCAGGTGGTTCTTGCACCCACTCCTGCCATCCGGGCTGGCGGCGGCAGGGACCAAGATCTTGCGCTCCTCCCAGCCCAAGACGTGACCAATTATCTTTTGAATGAGCCACTCGGTTTTCGAGGAAATTAGGTTTTAAAAATAGCCGGGGGAGGGGGAGAGCTTGAGGCGCTGCAGGCGGGAGGCAGGGCTGAGACCTGGGGGGGAACTGGGGACACAGCTGTGCCTCGGGCTGGTCCCCCCACGGATGCCCACGAAGGCTGTTGGTGAGGGACCCCTCCCCCGGTATACACAGGACCACTTCTCTTATATATTTTTATGAGGAACCTGAGGCAGGGAAAACACACCCCAAGGACTGGGGGCAGGGGGCCTTACCATCTATCCCTCAGCAGAAACACTAGGTTATTTTTACTTCGAAGTCCATTCATAGACCACCTCTGCCTGGCTCCTCTCAGCCCCCATCCTGTACCAAGTGGAAAATTGCCCCCACCCCACCGAGTCTGTCCTCCCCAGAGCAGCCACCAGAGGGTACCCGTGAGCACGAGTCAGGCCCCCGCCTCTGCCCACAGCCCTCCTGGGTCCCACCTCCCTGCAGATAAGAGCCCAAGTCACCTACGCGGCCCACAGGGCCCTGCACGGCCTGTCCTGTCCCCTCCCCGTGCTCCCTCCCTCTCTCTCTCCCCCTCATTCCTCTGCTCCACAGGGGCCTCCTTGCTGTTCTCTTCCAGCATGCCAGGTACAGTCCTGCCCCAGGGCCTTTGCACAAGCTGTTCTCCCCACCTGAAACGACCTTCCCAAGACCTCTGCAGGGTTTGCTCCCTTGCTTCAGCCAATACCTGGCTCAGACATCACCCCTTCAGATAAGCTGTTCCCCTGATCACCTCAGCCCAGACTGCCCTCCTAACTCCAGGCCACCCTCCCCACCTTCTTTGGCTTTCTCTGTCTTCCAGCACTGGGCCCCACCCCACCTGTGTATCATCTCTCCATACCCCCAGTCACGGGGCATCAGGTCTGCCCTGCCACCTGCAGAGCTGTCTGCAGTGCACAGGGGAGCGTTCCTCAGAGAGGGGCGGGGGGGCCTGAGGCGGTCACTGTGCGATCACTGCCCGCCCGGTGCCCAGGGGAGGGTTGCTCCCCATGACTCAGAGCAAATGAGACAGTATGAGGCAGTTGAGCCAAGAAGCAGCACTGGGGCCAGGGCTAGCTCACTTCCCATCAGCTGGAATGGTCTGGCCACAGGAGCAAAGTCCCCCTGGGCCAGGGCCCCCTGGAGTCTTGGTCCACCACGACCAGAGTGGATAGGCCACTCACAAACCACCGAGGGAAATCTGCTTGTAACTCACAAGGAGGGCTCTGTGGCTGACCCCAGGAGGCTGCAGCCCCTGCAGCCAGGCAACCCACCCTGAGCCACCAAACCCAGTGGAAGGGACCCTGCAGCGTGAGGAAGGTGGGTGGCTTTGAGCCACAAGGTCCCTGCTGAAGCCCTGCGGGAGACCCCATGGGGGCAGGACCAGGCAGCCCCCACCCCCCAAGTGCAGGAGCCTCCTAGACGGTGTGCTGCCTGCTGAACCCAACCCGGATGACAGAATCGCAAGTGTGTGCAGTTTGCAGCCCTGCGGCTCCAAGGTGGCTGGTACACAGCAGCAGCTAACTGATGCAGGGACCACTCCTCCAGGCGAAGCGAATCTCCAAGAGGAATATTAAGGACCTAGTCTCAGCCTTTGGGGGATGGAGACAGAAGTGAGCACTTCACGCCCTCCATCCAACTTGCATTCCTCACATTCACAAAAGCATTAAAGGTACCCACACGACAGATCACTCAGCCACGGACAGAAGCCCTGACACTCGTTACCACATGGACGGACCCTGAGAACATGACGCTCAGTGAGAGAAGCAGACACAGAAGGACACACAGGGTGTGATTCCACTGATGGGAGATGTCCAGAACAGGCAGACCCACAGACACAGAATGGGTGAGTGGTTGTCAGGGGCTGAGGGGGAGGAGGTGGGGGGGGGGTGACTGCTAAGGCCTTTCTGGGACTGATGGAGTGCTCTGGAATTAGATTTTGGTGGTGGTGACACAACAAAGCAAATATAATAATGACTGTGCATTTTAAAAGAGTTAATTTTATATTATGTGAACTATGGCTCAAAACAATTTTTTTTAAAGGAATGAAGCTCTTTAGTTGCAAAACCACCACCCAGTGACATGTGGCTCCAGGGCCTCCTCCAGACCCTGCTCCTCCAGCAGTGATACTGCGAAGCAAGAGGACGCAGGACCTTGGTCCCCTGCCCCACCCCGAGATGAGGTCGTGCAGCCAGATGGAGGAGTCTGAGCTCAGGAAAGGCAGCCAAGCCTCCAGGTTGGCGCTCCCCTACCTCCTGTGGGGAAGGGCCAGCTTGTCCTATTTCTTACCCATCTTGGACCGAGATGTCCACAAAACACGATCAACATCAGCCACAGGAGAGGTGAAGACATACAAGATCAAGCCCAAGGTTTTGCTGCTCCTTTTTCAGCCTCCGTACAACTGCAATCACACAGACAGAAGCACGGGGACCCCACCACAGCTCTCACCTGTCAGCTGAGCTGTGACATTGCGAAGCCCAGCCTCTCCTCAGCACACTGCACAGGACACCGACAGTGTGGGGCTCCGGGCACCCCCAAGGCCCATTCGCTAACCCAGGCCCCCAGCACTGCAGACACGAGGGTAGGGTCACTCTGTGGGACATCTGGGGTGTTGTGGATGTGGAGCCGCATTGGCCCCCCAACTGGATGCTAGGGGTTCCCTCCCAGTATATATAATCCCAGTCATGACGACTACAGACGTCCCAGGAGACAGGCAGTGAGACTGTCTACACGAGTCCACAGGGGAAAACCCCAGACAAGGCGTTGATGATGGCAGCGGCACGGTAACAGTGAGCAACACACCCCCCGCTCTGCGGGCCCTGTCCGACAGACCCCTCAACTCGTCCCCTCACTCCACGCTGACTTGGTGACACGGGGACTGCCTCCCCAGTCTGCATCGGGACCTGGAAGCTGGCGGTCCCCACAGGAAAGCGACAGGCAAAGGTGTGAACTCAGGCCCCCCACCACCCACCCCACAGCCCCAAGCTCGGTGAGTGTATCCCCCAGTTATGCCACCGGGAACCCCTACCTGGGCTTGCTTTCTGGCGGCAGAGGGTCAATGCGAGTTGAGTCAACTTTCAAAGTCACAATGTTTTGGAGATAAACCTGGGTTTCTTGGAAAATGAGCAAATCTACACAGACAAGGCCAGCATGCTCACTCGTCTGGATCCACGTTCTCGCCCTTCACGATCTGCTCCACAGCAGCCAGAGGGCGCCTGTGAGCACCTGAGCCAGGCACCATCTGACTTCGAGATCGCATTTCTTTACCACCATTTTACAGAAGGAAGCAAGGGTATGGAGAAATTTAGGAAGTGATCCCAAGTCAGAGGTGAAAAACTTTATGATCATATCTCAGAATCCAGAACAGTGTTCCATAAAATTCAACAGAANAGTGATCCCAAGTCAGAGGTGAAAAACTTTATGATCATATCTCAGAATCCAGAACAGTGTTCCATAAAATTCAACAGAAAAGTCATGTCCAAAAAGCTACCAAGAAACTAGAGGAAGGTGGGGGTGGGGGAAGTAGGGGTGGGTTGGGGAACAGGAACAACCTTTACTTAAAAACAAGTAGGGGACTTCCCTGGTGGTCCAGTGGTTAGGGCTTCACCCTTCCACTGCAGGGGCATGGGTTCAATCCCTGGTCAAGAAACTAAGATCCCACAAGCCATGCAATGTAGCCAAAAAAAGGGGGGGAAAGTACAAACAGTAAGCACATTAACATCAACCACAAGACAGAGTGCAGCTGCGAGGGCTACCACTTCAGTGGGAGAACTGGCCAATGCAACAAAATAAGAAAAAAGAAAAGGAATGAAAATTGGAAAGATAAAAAATTTTTTTACAAAATCTAAATCTGACAGAACCAACTGACCAAGCATTGAATTAAGTGGAGCAGAGCAAGGTGCTCAGACAGACACCAGTAACTCACCTGCGGTCATATTGCAAGCAGATCCGGGAGTTTCTGCCCTTTGGACCACCATCTGCTCTTACTCTTATATGCCTGTCCCTGGTTTCACACTCGAGTTAATTTTTATCTGTTGGACCCAACCTCTCTGATTAACAGACATTAACAGGGAGCTGCTAATCTTTCCTTCACCAGGG